AGGCCCATTGTTGTGCCATTCATCCACCGCCATCAGCTCATGTTTCATCATGATAATGCACGGCCCCATGTCGCAAGGATCTGTACACGATTCCTGGAAGCTGAAAATGTCCCAGTTCTTCAATGGCCTGCATACTCACCAGACATGTCACCCATTGAGCATGTTTAGGATTCTCTGGATCTTCGTATACGACAGCATGTTCCAGTTCTTGCCAATATGCAGCAACTTCACACAGCCATTGAAGAGGAGTGGGACAACAATCCACAGGCCACTATAAACAGCCTGATCAACTCTATGCGAAGGAGATGTCGCGCTGCATGAGGCAAATGGTGGTCACACCAGATACCGACTGGTTTTCTGATCCACACCCCACCTTTTTTTTAAAGGTACAGTATCTGTGACCAACAGATGCAAATCCATAGATTAGGGCCTAATGAATTTATTTCAATTGACAGATTTTCTGATATTAACTGTTATTCAGTCAAATCTTTGAAACTGTTGCATGTTGCGTTTATATATTTCGTTCAGTATACAGTTGAAGTCGGAAGTTTACATACACTTAGGTTGGAGTCATTAAAACTTGTTTTTCAACCACTCCACAAATGTCTTGTTAACAAACTATAGTTTTGGCAAGTTGGTGACAAGTAATTTTTCAAACAATCGTTTACAGACAGATTATTTCACTTATAATTCACTGTATCACAATTCCAGTGGGTCAGAAGTTTACATACACTAAGTTGACTATGCCTTTAAACAGCTTGGAAAATTCCAGCAAGTGATGTCATGGCTTTAGAAGCTTCTGATAGGCTAACTGACATAATTTGAGACAATTGGAGGTGTACCTGTGGATGTATTTCAAGGCCTACCTTCAAACTCAGTGCCTCTTTGCTTGACATCATGGGAAAATTAAAAGAAATCAGCCAAGACCCCAGAAAAAGAATTGTAGACTGGTTAATCCTTGGGAGCAATTTCCAAACGCCTGAAGGTACCACGTTCATCTGTACAAACAATAGTACGCAAGTATAAACACCATGGGAGCACGCAGCCGTCATACCGCTCAGGAAGGAGACGCATTCTTCCAGATCAACAGCAAAGGACCTCGTGAAGATGCTGGATGAAACAGGTACAAAAGTATCTATATCTACAGTAAAACAAGTCCTATATCGACATAACCTGAAAGACCGCTCAGCAAGGATGAAGCCACTGCTCCAAAACCGCCATATAAATGCCAGACTGGTTTGCAACTGCACATGGGGACAAAGATCGTACTTTTTGGAGAAATGTCCTCTGGTCTGATGAAACAAAAACATAACTATTTGCCCATAATGACCATTGTTATGTTTGGAGGAAAAAAGGGGGGGGGGGGGGGGGGGGGGGTCGCTTGCAAGCCGAAGAACACCATCCCAACCGTGAAGCACGGGGGTGGCAGCATCATGCTGTGGGGGTGCTTTGCTGCAGGAGGGACTGGTGCACTTCACAAAATAGATGGCATCATGAGGAAGGAAAATGATGTGGATATATTGAAGCAACATCTCAAGACATCAGTCAGGAATTTAAAGCTTGGTCGCAAATGTGTCTTCCAAATGGACAATGACCCCAAGCGTACTTCCAAAGTTGTGGCAAAATGGCTTAAGGACAACAAAGTCAAGGTATTGGAGTGGCCATCACAAAGCCCTGACCTCAATCCTATAGAACATTTGTGGGCAGAACTGAAAAAGCGTGTGCGAGCAAGGAGGCCTACAAACCTGACTCAGTTACACCAGCTCTGTCAGGAGGACTGGGCCAAAATTCACCCAACTTATTGTGGGAAGGCTACCCGAAACGTTTGACCCAGGTTAAACAATTTAAAGGCAATGCTACCAAATACTAATTGTGTGTATGTAAACTTCTGACCCACTGGGAATGTGATGAAATAAATAAAAGCTGAAATAAATCTCTCTCTACTATTATTCTGACATTTCACATTCTTAAAATAAAGTGGTGACTGACCTAAGACAGGGAATTTTTACTAGGATTAAATGTCAGGAATTGCAAAAAACTGAGTTTAAATGTATTTGGCTAAGGTGTATGTAAACCTCCGACTTCAACTGTATATGCAAATAGACCATTGCCATATATGGATCTGTGCCTTTTACTTTGATCTGGACTGTGTTAACAGCATGAGCGGTCGTGAGTAGATGCGCTTGTTTTGAGATCAAAGCGAGAGCTGCATGTAGCCAAGTGTGCACATTTTGTTCATATCCTTTGCTAGTTAGTGAGTTAGTAGCCCTGTTATAGATCATTTGTAGTCAGCAATAGGGGAGTGATTGCTTCCTACAAGAGCACAAAATGGGTACATTTCTAGACATATTTGAAAAGCATGTCAGGTAAAGAGCTTTGTCTTAAAAGGGGCAGTGTTGTGTTTTCAGACAGGCTTGAATAAACTAAGTAGCTAATAGGTAGAGGGTAGCATAATTTGTCTGATTCTCTGTAAATCGTATGAGAATAATAATGCATTTTATTGGTAAAGGGGTTTCTTGCATCAAACAACAACAACATTTTCAGCCACCTCCTTGTCTGAAGGACAAGTGGATAAACAGGTTAATGTTAAGCGCTGCATGTTTTTTTCAAAGGTCTCATGGAATGTAGTCCTACATGGAACACCACATATTGGCTGCTGCTGTAGGCTGAATAATAGAACAGCTATGTCTATGTAAAAATGTTATGGGATGCATTATCACCATTGTTTTTTATGGTAGGCCACTCTGGTAGGCCTACATCATGATCAAATAGCCACAGTAGCCTACTTGGCCACTGTTAAAACTTTAACTTAAAGCGGGTACAGCCTCAGTGTTCACAGTAAACGCGCGCAGGAAGTTGCACAGAATTTTCACAACATTCAAATTTGCGCTCAGCAGACCTGACATTTGCTCAGTGGCAATTTTTTGAGGGAAAATTGACGGCAACTCTTGTAACACACCCTCCGTCTTGCTTCTTCTTCAGAGTTGTTCTCTAAATGCATTTTACTTCGGTTCAGTAAGCACTCCAAGTTGAAATAGTTTAGAGACCTTGTCTGACATTCTTTCTAAGTGACCTTAAAGCTCAGAGTGAACATAAATTGGGATACCTTCCAAGCATCATTCACCACAGAGCTCCATATGCCCCCAGGTCTGAGTTAGGCTGACGTCTACCAACTACACAACAGCAACAAACACCAGGCTGTGAATACTCTAGTGTGTTCTTCAGACATCAAAGGCTTCTTTCATGTTCTTCTGGGAAGAGGAGCCAGACAATGGTGGTTCCGAGCCATACAGAGCAGTCAGCTGAGCTACACACATCTGATGGTGGTCTTGTAGCATAGCAGATAACATACACCCATGTCACAGATGTAAGAGTATGACATCTAGGAAGAAAACACTCATAGAAGTTAGAATCTTAACAAACTGTTTTTCTTTTTTTCTTCTTGTGCCCTTTATTCACTGCCAGTCAGCCAGCGCAGCTGATGGCCCATCAAAACTACACCTAAACTATACTGAAACTAATTTCACACATAACACAATGCCACAGATGTCTCAAGTTTTGAGGGAGCGTGCAATTGGCATGCTGACTGCAGGAATGTCCACCAGAGCTGTTGCCAGAGAATTGAATGTTCATTTCTCTACAATAAGCCGCCTCCAACGTTGTTTTAGAGAATTTGGCAGTGCTTCCAACCGGCCTCACAACCGCAGACCACGTGTAACCACGCCAGCCCAGGACCTCCACATCCGGCTTCTTCACCTGCGGGATCGTCTGAGACCAGCCACCTGGACAGCTGATGAAACTGAGGAGTATTTCTGTCTGTAATAAAGCCTTTTTGTGGGGGAAAAATAATTTTGATTGGCTGGGCCTGGCTCCCAGGTGGGTGGGTCAGTCTCCCAAGTGGTTGGGCCTATGCCCTCCCAGGCCCACCCATGGCTGCGCCCCTGCCCAGTCATGTGAAATCCATAGATTAGGGCCTAATTTATTTATTTAAATTGACTTATTTCCTTATATGAACTGTAACTTAGTAAAATCTTTGACATTTCTGCATGTTGCGTTTATATTTTTGTTCATTCTAGTTAGCCTAAAGACCAGATTCAATTGACAATAGTCTGATAGGTGACAATATTATAAATTGTCAAATTGTACAGCTTGGAATTTACACAGAGGCAGGGAAAGGAGTATAACTTTTTCAAATCCTCCTATACAGACATTTGATGTCTATATAGAATTAGAAAGAGCAGATTATGCTCTTCTAAAACACTTACCTTTGTCAAATTACTCAAAATTCAAGAGGTGAGCTCTATTTCAAAATATTACTTTTTCCAAGAATAACCGTGCTGTTCCATGCGTACAATATCTGAGCACTCACAGCAGCATTGCTCAGGGTACTAAGCAAAGATCAGTAAGATAATACAACTTTAAAAATATATTTTTAAAGACCTGCCAAAATGAAATTAGAATGTATTTCTTTATGGTGAATTTAACACAAACTCACTTCTTGTTTTTACATACAGCTACAGTAACAAACTAATGAATAAGCTATTATGTTCTAATGTATTCTAATGTTACGTAAGACCTTCATAAAACACAACCAAATTATTATTCTTCCGATAGCATATATGATATGTATTTACTAGACTGTTAGAATGTTGACGTCCAGAAGACGCGTCATTGGTATTTGGCTCGAAGGGGAGTACGTAAAGGCCAGGCTTTTCTAGTGTCAAGAAGGCGTGATCTTGAAGCCGTCTTTACTCTGTTTTAGAGAGAGAATCCCCTCTTGGCGGGCACACTGGAAACAGGGATAATCATATTTGGCTTTGAAAATTGAGCACATCGACTGGTACAGTATTTCCATCAATTAATAATAAGCATTATTTTGCAATGGGATTTTTTTCTCCTCCCGGACACTTTGGCCAGCAACAATTGTATTTATGGAAAACCCTGACACACACCCCCTGGATCTTACTTCTGTGTATGGTCTCGAAGCAGATGACACACACCCGGGACTCCTTGTCCAGGTACTTTAGCTTGCATCTCCTGTTGCAGCACACGGCACAGTACACCTGTGCCACGGGTGAGAGGACAACCGTCAGGCAAGAGACACACACTATACTGCAACACAGCACTCTACACTATACGTTGACAATCTACAGTGCATTCGCAAAGTATTCAGACCCCTTCCCCTTTTCCACATTTTGTTACGTTACAGACTTATTCTAAAATGGATTTTTTAAAGAATTGGCCTTATCAATCTACACACAATACCCCATAATGGCAAAGCAAAAACAGGTAAATTTTATTTACATAAGTGTTCAGACCCTTTGATAGGAGACCCTCCATGAGATGTTTCTACAACTTGATTGGAGTCCACCTGTGGTAAATTCAATTGATTGGACATGATTTGAAAAAGGCACACACCTGTCTATATAAGGTCCCACAATTGACTGCATGTCGGAGCAAAAACCAAGCCATGAGGTCGAAGGAATTGTCCGTAGAGCTCCGAGACATGATTGTGTCGAGGCACAGATCTGGGGAAGGGTACCAAAACATTTCTGCAGCATTGAAGGTCCCCAAGAACGCAGTGGCCTCCATCATTCTTAAATGGAAGAAGTTTGGAATCACCAAGACTCTTCCTAGAGCTGGCCGCCCGGCCAAACTGAGCAATTGGGGGAGAAGGGGCTTGGTCAGGGAGGTGACCAAGAACCTGATGTTCACTGACAGAGCTCCAGAGTTCCTCTTCCAGAAGGACAACCATCTCTGCAGCACTCCACCAATCAGCAAAGTACAGATGAAAACCTGCTCCAGAGCACTCAGGACCTTAGACTGGGGCGAAGGTTCACCTTCCAACAGGACAACGACCCTAAGCACACAGCCAAGACAACGCTGGAGTGGCTTCAGGACTAGTCTCTGAATGTCCTTGAGTGGCCCAGCCAGAGCCCGGACTTGAATCCGATCGAACATCTCTGGAGAGACCTGAAAATAGCTGTGCAGCAACGATCCTCATCCAACCTGACAGAGCTTGAGAAGATCTGCAGAGAACAATGGGAGAAACTCCCCAAAATACAGGTGTGCCAAGCTTGAGTCATACCCAAGAAGACTTGAGGCTGTAATCGCTGCCAAAGGTGCTTCACAAAGTACTGAGTAAAGGGTCTGAATACTTACGTTAATTTGATATCAGTTTTTTTTTATATGCGTTTGCTAAAATTTCAAAAAAACTGTTTTTGCTTTGTCATTATGGGGTATTGTGTTGATGAGGGGGAAAAAAACGATTTAATCAATTTTAGAACAAGTATGTAATGTAACAAAATGTGGAAAAAGTGAAGGGGTCTGAATACTTTCCGAATACACTGTACATTAAGTGATTCATGCCATGTTAAGTGTCTGACCCACATCTTGCCCAAGCATAAAGAAGAGCAGGAAATTACAAGGGAAATCGATACATTCAATTCTGCAGCAATTAATAAGAGAAATCAAAGCAGGTTGTAAAGTACATTACACTACTATTCTGTATCCTGTTGGGCTCCAGTAAGTAGACTATAGAGTCAAAGCCCCTGGGACTGCTTTAATCACTGGGCTGTTAAGGTCTTAGCTCTGGTTTTTGCCCCGGGCTCATACTTCAGAGAGGTGGAGATCTGTAGAGGAGCTGCAACCTGAATCGCTGACTCATAGCTCTCGTTTTGAGCTAGCTATATATAGCAGCAGAGGAGGGGGGGGGGGGGGGGGGGGGCATATAGGCTATATCATGCCATACTATGTGTTCAAGTGTGACGTATGTGAGCGGGAGCTCTCTGTCTTGCTCAGTGTTCTCTACAAGGAGAACGATAGGTCGAAGTCAGATAAGAGTCGTGGATTAGCTGAAACACAGCTAGGTCACTGCTCCACATTTGAATCCACATTTACATTTGAATCCTCTGATTAAGTCAATACAGAAATGTGCTGCATTGGAAACCGCAGTAAGGCTGCTTTATTGAAGTTCACTGAGTGGGTAGTAGTAAGGTAATGCCCCCAGACTGTGCAATTATCCGGGCAAGATATTGCCCCCTTTATCATTTCCATTCATATTCAGGGTCTTTGTGACTGCGTCACTCATTTAAGTTTAGTTAGAGCTCCTTATTATGTGTTGCTATGTAAAATATATATATTATATTTAATTGGACCTAATGTAAAAAAAAATATATATATATATATATATACAGTGGGGGAAAAAAGTATTTAGTCAGCCACCAATTGTGCAAGTTCTCCCACTTAAAAAGATGAGAGAGGCCTGTAATTTTCATCATAGGTACACGTCAACTATGACAGACAAAATGAGAATTTCTTTTCCAGAAAATCACATTGTAGGATTTTTTTTAAATTTATTTGCAAATTATGGTGGAAAATAAGTATTTGGTCAATAACAAAAGTTTCTCAATACTTTGTTATATACCCTTTGTTGGCAATGACACAGGTCAAACGTTTTCTATAAGTCTTCACAAGGTTTTCACACACTGTTGCTGGTATTTTGGCCCATTCCTCCATGCAGATCTCCTCTAGAGCAGTGATGTTTTGGGGCTGTCACTGGGCAACACGGACTTTCAACTCCCTCCAAAGATTTTCTATGGGGTTGAGATCTGGAGACTGGCTAGGCCACTCCAGGACCTTGAAATGCTTCTTACGAAGCCACTCCTTCGTTGCCCGGGCGGTGTGTTTGGGATCATTGTCATGCTGAAAGACCCAGCCACGTTTCATCTTCAATGCCCTTGCTGATGGAAGGAGGTTTTCACTCAAAATCTCACGATACATGGCCCCATTCATTCTTTCCTTTACACGGATCAGTCGTCCTGGTCCCTTTGCAGAAAAACAGCCCCAAAGCATGATGTTTCCACCCCCATGCTTCACAGTAGGTATGGTGTTCTTTGGATGCAACTCAGCATTCTTTGTCCTCCAAACACGACGAGTTGAGTTTTTACCAAAAAGTTCTATTTTGGTTTCATCTGACCATATGACATTCTCCCAATCCTCTTCTGGATCATCCAAATGCACTCTAGCAAACTTCAGACGGGCCTGGACATGTACTGGCTTAAGCAGGGGGACACGTCTGGCACTGCAGGATTTGAGTCCCTGGCGGCGTAGTGTGTTACTGATGGTAGGCTTTGTTACTTTGGTCCCAGCTCTCTGCAGGTCATTCACTAGGTCCCCCCGTGTGGTTCTGGGATGTTTGCTCACCGTTCTTGTGATCATTTTGACCCCACGGGGTGAGATCTTGCGTGGAGCCCCAGATCGAGGGAGATTATCAGTGGTCTTGTATGTCTTCCATTTCCTAATAATTGCTCCCACAGTTGATTTCTTCAAACCAAGCTGCTTACCTATTGCAGATTCAGTCTTCCCAGCCTGGTGCAGGTCTACAATTTTGTTTCTGGTGTCCTTTGACAGCTCTTTGGTCTTGGCCATAGTGGAGTTTGGAGTGTGACTGTTTGAGGTTGTGGACAGGTGTCTTTTATACTGATAACAAGTTCAAACAGGTGCCATTAATACAGGTAAAGAGTGGAGGACAGAGGAGCCTCTTAAAGAAGAAGTTACAGGTCTGTGAGAGCCAGAAGTCTTGCTTGTTTGTAGGTGACCAAATCCTTATTTTCCACCATAATTTGCAAATAAATTCATTAAAAATCCTACAATGTGATTTTCTGGATTTTTTTCCTCAATTTGTCTGTCATAGTTGACGTGTACCTATGATGAAAATTACAGGCCTCTCTCATCTTTTTAAGTGGGAGAACTTGCACAATTGGTGGCTGACTAAATACTTTTTATCCCCACTGTATCGTCAAAACACCACAAATGTTATCAATAGGGCAAAATATGACCCTAGAAATTAGGGTAAAGAAAAGTCCCTTCATGGACGGATCTAGCTACTTACCTTCCCACAGGCCCGGCAGTGATGCCTCCTCCTGGTGAACGTGAACTTCTGCCAGCAGTTCATACAGTTGGGAGCCTCTGAATCTGGCACCCAGGGGGGCTGCTTGCACCCCAGCCCATTCTCATCCTCCACCTCCTTACCCTCTGAGGACCCGGACCCCTCCTCAGCAGGGTAGGGTGGGGGCTCCGACAGCTCGTTGTACCCCACACTGCTCTCATAGCGCTCCGGTGGGGAGTACCCTGGGCAGGGCACACCCAGTTTAGCGGGGTCCTGAGCAGGGATGGGGCTGGGAGGAGAGGGGCTCTGGTCGACCTCCTCCCCAGGGTCGGTGCTGTCTGTGGGGCTACTGGGACCCTGGTCCTCCCCTACTGCTGGAGGTGCCCTGGGTACTTGGCAGTGCAGCTGTTTGGGTCGGGCCCCTCCGAAGTAGGGTGGTGGGAGGTTACTGGGACTACTGGGGTCCTGGGAGGGCATGGAGAGGGCTGGGCTCACACTCCCCTCTGCAGAAGCGGACAAGGTCCTGTCGCTCTCCGGGGAGGCCAGCCCCTCCCCTCGGCTCCGGCTGTAGCTCTCCAGCTCCTCCTCCACCAGCCGCTCCTCCAGGTCCCCATTGAGCTCAGAGAAGCCCTCGTCCTGGAGGTTCTCCCCGGGCCTCTCGCAGTGAGGGACCCCCTGGTGCTCCTGGCCCTGGGCTTCCCCCCGGAGGAAAGCATCCAGCTCTTCATCCGTCACCAGCAGCCCAGCCTGGTCGCTCTCCGGCAGGTACTCAAAGCCAAACTCAGGGGGGTCCACTGGGCTTAGGCTGGGCTCTGAGGGAGGGGATGCAGGGCGCTCTTGAGCCATGGGGGCCGGCTGGACCTCCACTGGGGAGAAGCTGACCTGGGAGACGGGGGGAAATGACCGCTGGGAGACGGGGGGAGCTGAGACAGCCAGGTGGAAAGGCATGGTCATCATCTCTTGGCTCTCTGGATTAGGTGACTGGACAGAGTGGTCCTCAGGGACAGAATCAGGGCTGGTACAGTCCTCAACAGTCCCAGGGTTCTCTGGGAGACTCACTTCCTCCTGCACCTTGGAGGCAGACAGGGACTCTGCCGCTAAGGTCTCAGTTGGGACAGCCTCAGCCTTCTCCTCTACCCCTCCTCCAATGGCCTCCTCAGGGTTCTTGGAGGCCACCAAGGCCCTGCACATGGACACGGCCATGGGCAGGCAGGACAGGGCTGAGGGGCTCTCGGACACACCACCACTGCAGTCCTCAGAGTTAGGTTCCTGTCCAGTGCAGCTCCCAGAGCTCTCTGCTTCAGCCAGCTCAGAGCGTTCCAAAGACCCCTCACCCTCATCCCTGACATCTGTGGCGATATCATACATGGGAGTGTCCTCTGTCTTGGTGTCCATGGCAACAGGCAGGACTACAGGCTGGTCCTGGTGATCAGGTGAGTTCTCCAGTTGATAGTTGATGAGGGCCACCTCTATGCCTGCCTCCTCTCTGTCTATCTCTCCCTCTGTCTCTCCAGACTCAGAGTTTCTCAGCGAGGGGTGATCCGTGGGCTCACAGGCTCTCTCCACAGCAGCGGGCAGAATCACATCGAGCAGCCTGAGAGAGGCAGCGTAACCACCAGAGTCCAGCCCCAGCAGCACCTCCCCTCCCCCGGCGAGAGTCTCCCTCCCCTCAGTCCTCCCATGTCCGGGACCCAGACCCAGGCCTGCTGAGGCATCCCTAGGCAGAGCCACCACGGGGATGGTGAAGTCCACCAGCAACTCCTCCTCCTCCAGCTGCCTCTCTGCCACGTCCAGCTTACTGAAGGCGTTGTGGCTGTTGGCCCGGAGGAGAAGGTGGGCTGAGCCTGTGTCACTGACCAGATCACACACAGGCTTCAGGGCCCGGTCTGGGCAGGGCGGTGCAGAGCTCTTAGCTGACCCCCGGCCGTCTACAGAGGAGAGCAGGTCCACCCCAGTGAGGGGCCGGCCCTTGGTCTCACGCTCCCCAGGACTGGGGCTGGGGCTGGGGCTAGGATGGTCGGTGCAGCTGGATGCAGAGCCATAGTGCAGGGAGTTGAGGTCAGGGAGAGAGTGTAGAACTGGAACTTTGGAGGGTTCCGGAAGGAAACCCTGGGCGCCCAGAGAGTGGCCGGGATACGAGGGAGGCGACAGGGAGACTGATCTGCACTCATGCTCATCTTGTGGGGAAGGGAAGAGATAAGTATCCGTTAATCAGTTCTGTTGTTAATATCTCAACATAACAAGTGAGCAACAAGTTTTAAGTCAGCAACTACAAAGTACACCACAAGTTTCAACTAGTTTTTAAAATATATTTATTTTCACTTAACACTACACCCCTCAGACCTTCCCCCCCCACATACAGAAAAGACAAACATGCTACCCGAATACATTGTTTCAGACTGTAGTAACCCGTGTCCAACCTGTATTGAGCTCAAAATCATCCAACAGCTTGTCCAGGTCACACACCGCAGCCTTAAAGAAGCTGTCCATGCTGGGCTGTCCGTGGGAGACCGGCTCCACTCACGCTTTTGCCAGCTGGAGAAGAGAAACAAGAGGATGTATTGTTATCTGTCATCTTTATCTATTGGTCTTATGTGGACAGGATGAATGCATTTTGATCGACATTTCAGTTTCCACATCAGTGTAAAAATGCTGTAGTTATTGGCTATGAAGCTTTCATCCACAGTCCCCAATCCCCAGACAAGTTGAAGAATGAATAACATATCAATTGTTGACCAAACAGTTAGTGCATCACCTCAAACTTTCTCCAGCTATGCGTGATTGTGTACTTCAGATTCTGACCCCTGCTCTCCATGTCTGTGGAGAAATCTAATTAAAGATCTACTAGAGAGCATTTCTCCAGTTTCAGTGTAATAACTTTATTATGACATGTCAACTGGCATCACAATTTATATTGTGATACTCCACCTGTATGACCTGAATCACCTTGCATTGGTTAAAGACTACACACCAGGCCCAGCTAGGTAGCGTAGCTTGCCAGGAGCCAATATTAGCAGCTGGGCTAATAATACAATCAAATAAAACTGGTCAGCTAACTATGGGCCTAGCTTATGCCAGTGGTGACTAATTTTACTAGTTAGGCTAGGGGTTAGGGTTAAGTTTAGGAGTTAGGCTAAAGGCTTAAGGTCAGGGGAAGGGTTAGCTAAAAGGGTTAGGGTTAGCTAAAAAGGTTAAGTTTAGGGTTAGTTAACATGCTAAGTAGTTGCAAAGCAGCAAGTAGTTGCTAATTAGCTAAAATGCTAAAGTTGTCAGTGAAGAGATTTGAACTTGCTAGACGTTCGTGTTATACCCACCCCAACCAACCACTCTACCTTTAACCAGCTGTCTTATGTAACCATACCAAACGTAACATATCATACTAATTTTACTGTCCTGGATTTACGTTTACTATGTTACGTCTAGTCTATGAGACCAGGCTGATGTATGATCAGCTAGCTTACTATTAGCTAGCTAATTATACTGCTAGCATCCATGGTGACCAATATTTCCTAATCAAGGCCATGGTAAGTCTAATATTAGTTCGCTAGCAGTAGGTTATAACTAGAGGTGGAATGGCTAACATTAGCTATGTATTTGTTTAATTAGGATTAAAGGGTAACTCTCAAACCCAATTTCAGCCTTTGCCCAACTCCTTCAAATTAACAAAAAAATGAATTCAGGTGAGAAGTTGTGGGTGGGGGGAAATGCTCATAAATATTAATTTTGGAGGTGGGTAAACGTAGTTTTACCTGATCCCAACACTTTCTCACTAAAGCATACTTACTAGAAGTCCACTGGCATGCTCTGACAATACAATGATGTATATCGCAAACATATACACTTCTGAACAGTTAGCTCAGTGGTAAGTTAATGCATGCTAAACGTTTTTTTTTTTCTTTCATTAATTTCATTTGTTTCATTTCAGTTCTTACATTTCATTACAGACAGTACACCTATTTTGCAATTATATCTGAGAAATAAAATGTTTTTTGCATGAATGATTGTAGAAGATGTCTTCATTGATCACCCTTTTGATTACACATTGGCTAGATATTATGGAAATAATAGATTTTCTGTAAATGTTGTTGGGTAATGTAAGTGTAATTTACAGTACTGTTGTAGCATATTACTTTCAGCACTTCTAACATGATGACCACACCGCACGCGTCGCGTGCGTTGCAAAATAAATGTACACATACAGTGGGGAAAAAAAGTATTTAGTCAGCCACCAATTGTGCAAGTTCTCCCACTTAAAAAGATGAGAGAGGCCTGTAATTTTCATCATAGGTACACGTCAACTATGACAGACAAAATGAGAAAAAAAATCCAGAAAAATCACATTGTAGGATTTTTAATGAATTTATTTGCAATTTATGGTGGAAAATAAGTATTTGGTCAATAACAAAAGTTTCTCAATACTTTGTTATATACCCTTTGTTGGCAATGACACAGGTCAAACGTTTTCTGTAAGTCTTCACAAGGTTTTCACACACTGTTGCTGGTATTTTGGCCCATTCCTCCATGCAGATCTCCTCTAGAGCAGTGATGTTTTGGGGCTGTCGCTGGGCAACACAGACTTTCAACTCCCTCCAAAGATTTTCTATGGGGTTGAGATCTGGAGACTGGCTAGGCCACTCCAGGACCTTGAAATGCTTCTTACGAAGCCACTCCTTCGTTGCCCGGGCGGTGTGTTTGGGATCATTGTCATGCTGAAAGACCCAGCCACGTTTCATCTTCAATGCCCTTGCTGATGGAAGGAGGTTTTCACTCAAAATCTCACGATACATGGCCCCATTCATTCTTTCCTTTACACGGATCAGTCATCCTGGTCCCTTTGCAGAAAAACAGCTCCAAAGCATGATGTTTCCACCCCCATGCTTCACAGTAGGTATGGTGTTCTTTGGATGCAACTCAGCATTCTTTGTCCTCCAAACACGACGAGTTGAGTTTTTACCAAAAAGTTATATTTTGGTTTCATCTGACATTCTCCCAATCCTCTTCTGGATCATCCAAATGCATTTTAGGTGACCAAATACTTATTTTCCACCATAATTTGCAAATAAATTAATAAAAAATCCTACAATGTGATTTTCTGGATTCATAGTTGACGTGTACCTATTATGAAAATTACAGACCTCTCATCTTTTTAAGTGGGAGAACTTGCACAATTGGTGGCTGGCTAAATACTTTTTTTCCCCACTGTACATGTTATTCAGTCATTGCTCGCACACTGCTCGCACACTGCTCGCACACTGCTCGCACGCGTCTGCGTGGCCAGGCGCTAAAATAGAACTCTGTCCGATATGCATCATTGGTTTTTAGGAGCATCTACCCACGTGGGTGATTGAAAGATGAACTGAGGTATACGTTCAAGTCTAGTTGGTTGTGGTAATGCACCATAAAATTGGTTGCCAACCGCCATATAAAGTCCAAAGAAGAAGAAGTCTGAAGGAGGAGAGATTACTAGAAAACAAACTTTTACCCTTTTATCTGTGGATTAATTCATCAACTTGCGCGCATGTGGCCTGGGTAGCAAGTAAGGGCGATTTGAAAGACCTATCTTGCACTGTTTGCTATTGGATTAACTGGTAGTTAAAACGACTAAATTGAAAAGATATCATTATGTTGTGTTTTGGTGATTAAACCAATGTTCTCATTACATTTCACAATAAACTTATATTATGAATCAATGGTTGTGTGGTGAGAGATGTTTACAATCCAAATGAATACACAATGACAGGTTTGGAATGAAAGACTGGCTGTGTTACAAGTATGACCTGTTTGGAGTTTAATACTAAGAGTTGTGAAAATGTACCACATACTTGTGAAAATGGTACCAAAGCGGTAAAAAAAACTCACTCACAGATTGGTCTTGGGTACTGTATTAGAAACCTACACCTAGTACCAGGGAGACCCCTCTCACAGGTATGTTTTCACTTTTCAGAATGAGAAGTGTGGGGCAACAGAATGTATATTCTAAATAAAGGATTTGAAGAAAAACATATACATGAGGGACTACAACTCACAACCATTGAGCTACAAGCCAACTGTTTTAGCGGACTGCGCCACCAATCACAGCGGATGGGAAATAATACAACGAGTTGAATTCACCACCAATGTAATCTATTTCTTGTTACGATGGATGTAGCTACGAATATAAATGTATAATCCTCAAAGCCTACGTGTTGGGTTTTTTATTCATAAAAGCACATATATGTGTATGAAACAGTAAGCAAAAACTTTAAATTTCGTCATATGCGGCAATGTGCCTAATGGCGCGTTCAAAAAACCTGGGAACTCGGAAAACTCAGACTTCCGACTTTAGTGCGTTCAAGAAAACTGGACACTGGGAAAAAAATGAGCTCCGACTGGGAAAAATTGTTTTGAACGATCATCCAACTCAGAATTCCAAGTCGGGAACTCGGGCCTCTTTCTAAAGCTCTGACTTTCCGACCTGAAGATCACTGATGTCATGATTTGACCTTGTTTTTTTCCCCGAGATCCCAGTTGTCTTGAACGTACCATTACTGCCTTTTGAATTTTGTGTAATGTCAGTAGTCTAGTCAAGGAAGAATCATGCAAAATATATTGCCAGACTCCACTTACCAAGACCATTGCAAAATAAGCCACGCTGTCACCTGCTTTTATAGTAAGCCTTGAGGTGGAACGCCGTTTGGGTCTTTGCGTGTCATAAAAGATAAACGTCAAATAACACTATTTGACACGTCAAATAAGCTTTTAATTTTATACATTGTGATTTCAATACCACGTTGGTAATAAGTCATTATTTGTTCGACCGAATGGGAAAACCTCTGTGAGCATTTGAAATAAGATCAGGATCAAACGAGCAGGATCAAAGATTTTAGCTAGGCAGTCCAACATTCTGTCCGACATGCAACCATCCCAGAGGCAGGGGAGATGATCCTACTGCTTCTGCCTGCCAGCCAGCCACATCCCAAGCAGATGCACCTGATTCATCCTAGCTAGTCAAAATACAGAATAATAATCAAGCATTTTGTGAACATTGATGATAGTTTGGAAACTGGAGGTAGGCAGTCTCCCTAATACATTGACTTCGGATTGCAGTACGACAAAGTTAGTCACAAATATCTTTGATACAGATGTTGTTAGCAACTTCTGGGGTAGGCGTGGTATCTAGCTAGCACCAATGCTAGTTGCTCCTGTAAGTCGCTCTGGATAAGAGCGTCTGCTAAATGACTAAAATGTAAAATGTAAATGTAATGCAACCAGCCTGAAAACAATGACCAGAAACTGCAATCATTTATCATAGCAATGATGATTTAGGAATCCATGTGACAAGTATTAATTAGGCAGCCACTTGTTGTTCTCCTATTGAAATCGAACTTCAGTTCATTAAAGCTGCAATATGTAACTTTTTCGGCAACCCGACCAAATTCACAAATAAATATAAATTATAGATTTGTCATTCTCATTGAAAGCAAGTCTAAGAAGCTTTAGATCTGTTTTAT